ACAACATTCATCTTAAGCTTTAAACCTCCTCCCCCTGGAATCTATCCCCCACGCTATCACAGAGTTGTCCCTCTGAAAGACTATCAGGACCATGTCACATCCTATATTTGGAGGACTCTTCATCACCAACTTTGTAAATGCTAAGCTTGGTAGCCATGAGTGCTCTTTACGGCCTGAGCCAAATCTGCTTTTCTAACATTATTTCCTGCCACTCCCATCACTGTTCTCCAGTCACCCTGAACCAAGTGCTGCTCTTAGACCAGGCTGAGATGAGATCTTCATGGCTGTCTTGTGACTTTGCACTTACTTGTTGTGCCTAAAATTCTACACTCCCATTTTTACTTGAGAAATTTCTACTCAACTCTGTGAAGGGAGTTGTCTCTGCCCTCTGCAAACAGTTAATTTCTTTATCTGTAACCCATAGAAAATCTTCAAACGTGCTTTTATAAAAGTAGCAGTTATATAATTCAAATTAGTTTTATATTGATTTGTTTTTCATTTCACAACTTTACTCCCATTAGATTGTCAGCTTCTTCGAGTCAAAAGATGTATCTTCTTTGTACTACAGAGTATACTGTTTGCAGAATAAAGGCAGAAATAAATGGATGAAGTACACAAGAAAGTCTGTGTTTTCTTCCTAAAAGAGATATTTATGGGAATATAAATATTACTTCAAGAAAGTTGTGTCTTCAGTTTTTTCTTATTTACTGTGTCTAATATGATCACCACTGGATATGTGGACCTCAATGGCAAAATCAACCAAAAACAAAGGGAGAGAAAAAAATTATCATTTAAAATCTTATACAAAGTAGTTATTCAGTTCTAATTATTTTACTATCGAGACATAGCTTAAAATAGGGTTTAAAAGTCTAGTATTGTTTAACACAGTTATCTGAAAATAACAGCCGTTTTGAAGGGAACATACATAAAGATATTCATAACCTTAGCAATACAAACTCTTACATCATTCTTTAATGGGTTTTAATGCTTTAATATGCAGAATTTATGGTCTCTCTGGAAAGACTTTTAATATTATGCAAAAGAGTAGTGTTTCTAGAACTATCTAAAAGTTAGCATGTAAGATGAATCCAGAAGGAAGAGCTTAAATGATCATGTGTTTGAAGTGGTAGATGTAACCAGAGATTCTGTGTAGGGAACCATCGGTTCTCAGGCATCCTCAGGGAATGTGGGACACGGGCTAAGAGCTGCCCAGATATTTTCAATACCAGCATTTTCCCAGGTGTCACTAGATTTTGAGAGAAAAGAAGCATTCCTGGATCTTAACAAATAATTGAAATCATTTAATCTAATGAGGTAGAAAAATTTCAAAAGAATAATATAAAGTTCATAGGAAGTTGAATCCTTTGAGGCAAGAAAAGCCACTATTAGGATCTCTCAAACTTGTGAACCTATTGTATACCTTGTTCTAGATTAGCAAGTTTAAGGAAACAATCTCAGCAGAGTAAGGTTAAAATGAAGAGGTATAAGTGAAGGAAAGAAGAGTGAATAGCTTTGTTTAGAGCAAATATGAATGAAATGAAGATCCTCATGTCCTCAAAGACAGCCGTTGACGTAGAGAATATATGTGAAAATATACGCATATTTCTAGAATTTTCAGCCTATTGGTATAATGGCAAGCAAAAGTCTAGTACCACAATTCAAAAACATACATACATTAAGGGAAAATATCCTTCATAGGTCAAAAAGAGGGGAACTCTCTCCTGTAAGTGAATAATATAAGTAGTCTTCTTGCTTTATACTAGTTAACTTTTATTTTTGTTTGGATAATTTGAATTTGCTCTGATACCAATGGGAAATAACCTGGGGTAAAGCGATTTTTCCCAGTCTTTCAGAGTATGTGATATTTAGAAAACCACCCACGTGTCTATTTCTCTACAACACCCCATTGCGAATCTACAGGATATTTGATTACCATCTTAGGAACTGTCTGGAGAATACAGAGGAGAGGAAAGATAGCTGAGTAGACTCCACTGCAAACGTTAGATCCTGTGATGGATGGACCTTGCTTGTCATTTGATATGCAGGCTGTAACATAGGGAACTGCATGATAGCTTCTGTGGTGGTGTGATATTTTCTTTCCTTCTGAATTTTGCATCCAGATTAACATCTTTTGTTTATAATTATCTTTCACAAGCATCCTAGTCTCTGAAACTATCCAATTTAGCAGGCTTACTTTCTTTTTCTTCTTTCACCTGTATTTGAAGATTTTATTAATTTGTTTTTCTGTCCATTTCTAGAATGTTTATAATAATATGAATGCTGGCATTCTCCCTGGGTTAAAAATGACTGGTGTTTTGAATAATGTGTCTTAGTTATAGTAAACAGCAATGCTTCTTGAAAAGAAATTCATAGCAAATCCAAGGAGTTGATATTTGCAAAATAAGAATTATCGCTGTCTATTATAGCATTGAAAATATTATTTAGATAATCATGACAAAATATATAGGAACATATGAAAAATATACCATTTGAGCAAAAGTAATAGTGATGGTTTGTATTTCTTAGACATCTCCAAACTAAAGTAGTTTATTCCACTCAATTTATTTGGTAATGCTAGAATAAGAAAACTTAAACAGCTACATTCTGAAGTTCCTCTTCTCCTTCATGGGGAACTATTGTGTTTCCTTAGAATTAGTCAGTCTCTGATCTGTTGGTAATGGCGTTATGTGTAGACATTATTTTTCTAAATCTTAACTTCGTATGCAATTGTGGATCTTCATGCCCCAAAACACTGTCTCAATATTTCTGAGAATGCCTAAGAGTATCTAAAATGGACTTAATAATAAGTACAATACTTATTTCATGATGTATTTTCTTGTATGTCTTTTCACTTTCCTCTGTTGAATATTTCTTTGTTTTCCCGTGCACCATCCTCAATACATAGGACCCCAAGAAGTTTGAAAGATCTTACAAAGTGGGAAAGAAACTTTATCCACTTTTGGTGCTACCCTATATTTGAGTGTTATTAGAGTGCTTTATAGAATATGCAGAGTTTTTAGTGAAATAGCTCTTTTCGGTTTTATTAACAAGCCTGACTTGTCCTTTCCCTAATTCTGAACTTACTTGAGTGCAGTGTGAGAGCTAAGCTTAGACAGCTCTGAGTGACAGGCAACAAAATGATACTCTCAATTGCTCCTCCTCTCTTTTGATCAAGGCTTAATTATTGGATCAAGCTTGTCATGTCTGCATCCTTCTTTCTTGATTAGGAGTTCTTTCTTAGGAAGCTCCTCAGTGCCTCAAGCAAGACTGCCCCCCCCCCCTTCTCACCATATCTGGTGGGATCTCAGATATGGGGCTCCTCTACTGCCTGTATAATTTTGGAGTCGAATGGTTCCTTAGATTCTTCTGATTTAGTCTTGTATTTTGTGGTTTGTGTAAATAGCTAAAGTAACCAGTAGCCAGAGCGTCTGGAAGGAAGTTTGATTGCGTGATAAAGGCTTTTTGAAATTGTTATGGTAGCATAAGTGGGTAGAAAATGAGTGACTTGAGGCTTCAGATATGAACTACTACTTGAAGTACATAATGACCTTTGAAGATTTGGGGGCACATATTATGACTGGTAAATTTTTAATGGTGATGTCTTTGTAGAAAAGTTACAAGGATGTAAATGCAATTTCAAAACTGAAAAACGGTTTTGGAAATTGAACCAGTTTGAACTTACACATTAAACTACCCAGGATATTTGAAATCTTAAAGTATTTCAGTCTACCCCTGTGTATAGCAGAGAACTAAAAGAGAGACAGCAATCAGTGCAATTATCCCTCCTAGCCTCTATTAGGAACAGGAGAAATAAAACTTGTTCTTTAGTGTTTTCCCACCTCCCAAATCACTTTTTTCTTCCCTTGCTCTCATGCTGAAATATCCAAATGCATTAATATATTTTCTTGAATGCCCCAAGATCTTTACCACGAACCTGTCATCTTTAGGTAATACCTCCATGCTATGGTGCCATCACTCTATTTTATACCCTGTTAAAAATAACTGTCTCCAAACTGAAATGTTGAAAATATTTGAACAACAAATTTATACCTCTTCCAGGAATGTTTGTTATGTAAAGACACACCATGATTTAGCTTGAAGGAGCTCTGATGTTGGGATATTAGGGATGGATTGATGGGGTGATACGTGGACAGGACTATATTCTCACGATTGATGGATAGTGATAGTCAATATGTTTTCTTGATATAAAACTGATGCTGTTCGGTACATACTGCAGTTGGGGAATGTCTATTTCTAAGAGAAGCAATATGACATATTAAGAAGGGCATGGGATTTGGAGTCCTGGATCAACATTTCCCACTCTATGATCTTGGACAAGTCTTGTTATTTCATTAGTACATAGGACATGTTAATAACACCTAACTCACTGGGTTTAGTCAAGAGAAAAAATGAGATATTGTAGGTTTTGGTTCTTTACGAACTGTTTCCTGCTACACTGAAATGGGCCAGTACTGGGAATATAGGATTTGATTTCCATATGTATAGGGAAATTCCACATTAGGCACATAGCCATTTTATAAAATAATATATGCATATGAATATTTTTACCTAAACTCTCTGATCTACAACAATTATCTGTATTTACATTATGGTTTTTATCAGTAGTCTTGGGAACTTTTAGTTTATGCCATTTAGGGTAAAGTTTGAGAGAGCTAGAAGTAAAGAGAGGAGGCATCTTTAAGTACTTTAAAACCTCTGTACCCCGGTTGCCTTAAGACTTATCTCCTTTGGTCAGTCAGTTTGATTTCAAGCCATTTAGATATAGTTGAGTATATTCTGAGAAAGTAAATAATGTTGTGGTCAAAAAGAAAACTATATGAGCACATTTCTGTAGAGCAATGATGACAGTTTCATAGTGAAACAGAGTGGGGCAAAAGGAAAATAGAAAAGAAATAATACCGACAATAATCCGCATTTTATCAAGATGCAAATAAAACATTTTTAATCATCCCAATATTTATTATTGTTATTATTTGTAGATGGGGCATATTGAGAGGAGCCCAGGGGCGGAAAGAAAAATTTTGGGTATGTAACTCCACTTGAATTTCCACTGTGAAGTGAATATTTTAGAATCTTCTGTGTCTCTACTCCCTGCTTTGTGTTATTTAGTCACATCCTAAGTCACTGTAATATTGTTTATAATATCGATATTTACTCCAACACAAAACTCATTATAATCATTTATATTAGAGTAATAATTTTCCTCAATTTCTCTTATTTTAAATTGTAAAAGAAGAGTCAGTATTTTTTTTTTCAAAATGAGAGTCAACAGGAAAACTTTTTGTTCTACTGTTATCTATATTAAACTTTAATGGTTAGTCTTCTCATATAAGTCAATCAACTTTGTGTTTTTACATCATTTTTGCTATGCATGATAATGCTAGAATCAATTTGTGTTGCCAGTATCAATTTACATATATATCTATGTATACACATAGACTCATACACATTTTCTAGGGGACACACACACACACACACACACACACACACATTACCTAGGGGTTAAGTGTTTTGTTTTTGTGTTTGCCAATTATAACATATACATGTTTCTTTACGGAGAAAGAACAACTGTCTAGTCTAAAAAAATAATAGAAAGTTACGTCTAAGAAACAGTTTGAAAAAGATTGGAACATATTACCTCAAATATTCAGTTGATTACAATAAACTTGGATTAATTATCCCAAGTCCTGATATTATATACCTTTTTTGTTTTTCAGAAATAGAATAAAGTCTAGGCGATGATGTTTGTCATGGAATTTGAATTCGAATGTATGCAGTAGAGGGCATATTATCACTTATAAAACACTGAATGTTAGGACTTATGCTCACCAAAGTGACTCTGGTTAACTAGATTTCTCCACAAGACACTCACAAAAACCAATCACCCAAGTATGTGGTCGCACCTTGTATTTGTCTTGTTGATATATACAAGTATTATGCTTTTAAGTAGAATGATGATCCTTTGTATTTAAACTAAGCTTTCTTAAGTATTATTTTCCTCATTAAAATAAACCTTGAAGTAGCTAATAATTAACATTAATATTCAATAGTTAAAATTCATAAAATATGAAAGAGGACATGTTATTCAATACCTACAATTAAGTTTCTGTATGAGACTTTAACTGAATTTGAACAGTTATTCAATCTCATAATAATATAATATTTAGAGACAAAAACAAGTTCTTTGATTAATGTACTTAACTCACAACATTTCTTAGCATGTAGCACTCGATAACTATTTGTTGAGTGAATATGCATGTGTTGAGTGAATATGAATATGAATATCAATGCAGAGGAAAACATTTTGTGATCCTCTCACCCTCAACTCATCATTTCCATCCTAGAGCCCCATGTGTTGTAGACACATACACACATATACACTCACTCACACTCATATATTCAGCACATCCGTGCACACTATCCTTTTACACTACTTTTGTTGTAGTTACTATGAATTCTGAACTTACTACTTATAAAAAATTTTGAAAGAAAACTTTATTTCATGGACATGGGGGCAGGATTTCTTTCTGCTATGACTCTTTTCCATAAACTGTTGAATGTAAGTGGTAGGAATACAAGAATCAGCCTGAAAATTTATCATATTTTATTAAATTGCACATTTCCGTCGACTTTTTCCTCCACTAAAGTGTGAAGGAAATATCATCTTGGGCCAGTATCATACCTGCCTTATTTACCAATGTATCCAAAGGGCAAAGCAAAGAGGCTGGTGCATAGTGGGACTATAAACAATACTTGTTGAATGAGGGAATGAATAACATTAATCTATGCACTCAGGAAAAGTTAGTCAAGTCACTAAAATAGTTTTCATTTTGTATGAAACTTAATATTGGTTTAATTAAAATATGAAATCTTTAAGTACTATTGTACTGTTTTGTCAAGAATTGTGAAGGGTCTGAGATGTTATTCCACTTGAGTTAAGGCACTTGGGTCAGAAGAAGAGTTCTTAATTGATGTTTACGAACAGATCAACAGCCAGATGTCACAGCATTGGTCCCCTACACTTTAGTCTTGCAGGTGAAATGATAAGAGCCAATGGAACTTTTCTACACAGGTAGCAGTTTACACCCCTTGAATAAGAGGCAGAGAACAATGGTTTTCTCCATTTACAGATGGGAGAAGGACAGGAAACCTCCTCCTTTCTTGGAAGCAGAGAAAAAACTTTTATTCCGTTAAGATGAGATGGAAAGGGACCTGTGTTCTTATCCTAACACTTAGCAATAGAAATATGTCTTTCCAAGGGCCAGGTAAACAGCAGACAATGTCTCCAAATGCTGGTCTTAATCCCTTTTGACATGGACATGTAAATACTGAGGGAGATGATGTTCCAGTACTCCTGGAACCCTGGGGCTTAATTTAGGACCTTGTCTGGTCTCTATCTCTTTGGACCTCTTGGGCCGATAAGAGGTTTTATTACGTTTTGAGATCAGATCAATTAACTAGACAAATGGCTACAGATCTAATTCTCATGGTATGTGAAGATAAAATATTTCTAGGAAAAGTGAAAGCAAATATTCCCTATCTTTATGTCATATACACTTTTTCTGTGTCAGGAGACTAGGATTTTTTGCAAGAGAACTGAGAAGTTCAAGGTAGCTTTTTTCCCCACATGATATATGAGTGTTTCAAAATATTGACAGATAGACCTAGAATATAGTAAATTATAATAAAAAATAAATAGATGACTTCCACCACTGAGTAAAAGTGTAATGGATAGCAGCAAGCCATAAATTCCACTATATAAGTAGAAAATAACAGCATTAACTTCCCAAACTTACGTTTTTAAAGAAATGAGAGAACTGAATCTGGAGACGATTTTCTGTCCTGGGTGCATTGGGTAGGTCTGGGCACAATCTAAGGATGGGATTTGAAATAGACAGAGAGAGCCCTCTAGGAGAAGGAGATTTCAGCTGGGCTGGAATTCAGAGGAACTCCAAACACAGCCATTTCTTCCCATGGAATATTGACTGAGTGCTGGAGTAGTGTGAGTAGCTAAGGAAGGGGAATGGAAAGGCAGAGTGAATTCTGTAGCATTGCAGAGCCTGGGGATGGAGTCCTACCGGAAGATGGCCTGAAACAAACACACGAGAGGTAGAGCCCTTGAAATATTTGAAACAAGGTGTGGACTGAGTTTAGCAAAAACTTCTTTCCAGCCCCGACCCAACTCACTTCCTGACTAAATTGAGGTCATTAGTCCCTCATCATTTCTCTCTAGAAGAAAAGGCTAACCTTTTAAAAATAACCCCAATGTCAGTCTCTGTAATTATTGTGACAAAATATCCAGGATACATTTAAAAATTATGAGACATGTGAAGCAGAAATTGTGACCAATAACCAAGGGAAAAAAACTATCAATAGAAGCAATAGATGATACTTTAGATGTAGGCTTTAAAATAACCATTGTAAAAAACATCAAAAAATATATGGATAAAAAGATGGATAATTTCAGCTAAGGATTTCAATATATACAAAAAATGAATTCTGGAATTTGTCAATGCAATGTCTGAAATTAAGAATTCACTGTATGAGCTAAATAACAGATAGAATTAGTGATCTTAAATAAAATCCAATAAAATATATCCAATTTGTGGTACACAGAGGAAAATATAATGAAAAAAACAAAAACAAATCCAGAACGACGTGAAGATACAGATAAGACAAAATCAAATGGTTTAACATATATGTAATTGTATTCTTAGAAAGATGAGAGACAGAATGAGGCAGAATCAATAACCGAAGACATGATGGCCATAAGTTTTCCTAAACTGAAAAGCATCCATCCAAAGATTCAGGAAGCTCCATGAATTCCAAGTAGGAGAAAAAAAAAAAAAAATCCAGGCATTTCATAATCAAAGGGTCGATAAAGTGTAAATTTAAAAACAGGCAGGGTTAAAAAATGGTACATTACCCTCTGAAAAATGGCATTAAGACTGATGATTGGGGAAAGGATAGCGTCCTCAATAAAACGTGTTGGGAAAACCGAATGTTCACATGCAAAAGAATGAAATTGAGCCCCTCTCTTACACCACTTATAAAAATTAACTCAAAATGGATTAAAGACTTAAATGTAAGAACTGAAACTGGAAAACTACTAGAACAAAACAGAGAAAAAAAACTCCTTGACATTGGTCTTTGCAATGATTGTTTTGGATAAGACACCAAAAGCACAAGTAACAAAAACAAAAATAAACATGTAGGACTATATTAAACTAAGAAGCTTCTGCACAGCAAAGAAACAATGAACAAAAGGGAAAGCAACCTTCAGAAGGGAGAAAATATTTGTAAACTATATATCTGATTAAGAGTTAATATCCAAAATATATAAGGAACTCATACAACTCAATAGCAAGAAAACAACCCTATTAAAAAATGGGCAAAAGATCGGAACAGATATTTTTCCAAAGAAGACATAAAAATGGCCAACAGGTACATGAAAAGGTGCTGAACATCACCATCAGGGAAATGCAAATCAAAACCACAATGAGATATCACCTCACACCTGTTAGGATGGCTATTATCAAAAAGACAAGAGATAAAAAGTGCTGACGAAGGGGAAGAGAAAAGGGAATCTTTACGCGCTGTTGGTGGGAATGTAAATAGGTACAGCTACCATGGAAAACAGTGTAGACGTTTCCCAAAAAATTCAAAATAGAACTACCATATGATCCATCAATTCCACTTCCGGGCATATATCTGAAGAAAACAAAATCATTATCTCAAAGAGATACCTGCATTGCCATGTTTATTGCAGCATTATTTATAACAGTCAAAAAAGAAAGCAACTTAAAAGTATTTTGACAGATGAATGGATAGAGAAAACGTGAGGGATATATATATGCAACAGAATATTATTCATCCATAAAAAAGAAGAAAATCCTGCCATTTTAGAAAAACATATATGAACCTCGAGGGCACTTTGCTAAGTGAAATAAGTCAGACAAATACTATAGGATCTCACTTATATGTAGAATCTAAAACAGCTGAGCTCATATAGAGTAATTGGTGGT